CGGTCCACAGACGGACCCCGCCATGACCGGGACAAGCAACAGACGAAGGCCTCTCCAAGTCCTGTGATTTGAAGTTGAATTCGAAATTTGACAATCCCTTCTGATTGGAACCCTGCGAGCGGCGGGTCTCTACTGGTCGTTGTGTATTATGCGTTTAATTGAAAAAGGGCTTTTCTTTTCATGTTCTCGTAGCACCAGGAGATCTACGGAGCCCATCAGTGCAAAAAGCTGGACAAACTGGCACGCCGCTGCTACGTCCTGTGAACCGACCTGACCTGACCCATACCACAAGATCAGTACCCTCACACCACTAGTTCAGTTCAGTTCAGTTTACACAGAACGATGTGTGGCCCGGGCCAATCTTGCGTCCAGTTTGATGTCTTGTTGGCTGTTCTTGTGGTTTCCGAAACTGCGTGTCGATAAGTTTTATTTCCTGAAAGGCAGAAACGGACCGACTTACTCTCTATCGAAGCGTTACTAGACACAAGTAGCTCGACGACGCAAAAGCCTGAATCACCATACTGACTCAAGCCGCAAGTCCTGGGAACTGTCCTGTCCTGTTCATAAATTTCAAATTTAACTGAAATTTCACTTCAAGGCCTTGGCAACGGGTGTGCCTGTACGGCGTGACCGAAACCATCAACCCATCGAGAACCTATGACTATTAAATGTGCTATGCTCTCTGTCCCAACTTGACTTGCTATTGCCATTATTGTTATTGCTAATACGTGTGCCTACAACAAAGTGTGACACAGTGCGTTATCTCTATTTCAGACCGTTCTGCTGTTAATATTATTACGGACAAAGAGAACTCCGTGAACTCGTAACTCACGCAAACTATAAATCCCCGTTCGATTCGTATTGTTATTGTTACCTTGTAGTGTGTTACCAATTGAATTATATTGTCTCAAAACGTCTTATACCTCCACGCTACAAATAGCGTCGCGGGCAGGATTCAAGATTCCCAAACCGACTTCACCGGAGCTGAAGGACAGCAAATTGCCGTGTCCCAGCCCCAGCAATTCTGAAGATATGGTTGAGAATATTCTGAAAATAATACTCTCCAGCGATGCGCTCAATCTGAATCTCACTCCGCCGCTGTCCCCTTTGGAAAAGTTCACTACGGGCAGTAACTACCCACGATGGAAACTACAAGTCCGTGCTTGTATTTGGAGGTTCTGAATGGATGAGCAAAGTGTTGCTCTACTGAATTTGCTGACCGGACGCGCTGCAGATCGCGCATTTCAGGCAATTGTCTTCGATGGTGACGACCTCGAGATCACGTTCTGCCAGTTACGTGAGCTTCTGGACACGCCTCTACACCCCGCCGAATATCAGACACACTTACTCGCGGCACGCCAGGATATGGGCGAGACCACCGAAGCGTATGCGTATCGTGTGAGGCAGCTGGTGGCGAAAGCGTTCCCGGGCGAGACCAGCGAGCGATTGGAGCGTCGAGCAATAGAACGGTTTGTTGAAGGAGTAGCAAACCCTTCTGTCAAAAAGAGGCCAATTATGGAACCCAAAGGAATCTTTAACGAGACCGTGTCACTGACGCGTGTAACAGAGAAGCTTCAACTGGCCGTCCAAAGACCTAACGCACAATCTTGGGCCATTTCCCAACAGCAGCCGCTCTCACGCACAAACCCATCGGCACCGAGGCCGTATCGTCAACCAGTGACCGCGCACCCTTACCCCCGAGACGGCGGCGGATGGAGGCGTTGGTCCGATACCGGTGAAAGATTCGAGCCGAACCATAGACAAACGGCAAATCGAATTCCACGCAAAAAGGAAGGACGGGACAACACCAATACAAGTGAATCAGTTCTTCCTGCCGTTTGTGCTCCTCCGGATAAAATGTTTTGTGTTAACCTACAGGTTCAAAGATACGGGGTCAAAGGCCTAATAGACACCGGAGCAACGAAGTCGCTGATTAACAGCTCGATATTGCAGGCTGTGAGCAACCCAACATCATGCCGTTCCATGGCCAATTGTGCGGAGTGAACGGCGCGGCGATCTGTGCCATCGGAGCAGTCCATTTTAAAGGTGCAGCTGGATGGTGCGTCAGTTAGACACTGGTTCGTGGTAGCCAAGCCGTTTTCGGTGTGTCTTATCTTGGAAGCCGATATCCCGAGGAGGTTTCGATGTACCATAGACATTAGGTACTCCAAGGTTCGTGCAAATAGGCTAATAGAACCAATGAAGGAAGATTATGAGGGAAACGACCACTGTGCCTTCGTTGGCGTGGAAACCAAGGCCCGGGACTTTCAAGATATAACAAGAGCCGAACCCAACATCAGCCGGTCAACACTAGAGGAAATGAACAAGGTCATTGCAAGCTAACGGGATGCATCCATGACGGACAGCGAACCATTGGGTAGGACCGGGTTCGTGAAACATCGGATAGAGACGGGCCACGCCGGGCCCATAAGACTGAACCCCACCTTGTACCAGGCTGCTACGTCCAGGAGTTGGAGAGCATGGTAAAGGAGATGCTGGCGAACAACGTGATCCAGCCATCGAAGTCCCCTGGGCTACCCCTATTGTTTTGGTGAAAAAGAAAGACGGGATAATTAGGCTGTGTCAATTATCGAAAGTTAAATAAAATCACAAAGAAGGATCCTTTCCCTCAACCACTAGTGGAAGACATTTTAGACTCTATCGGGAGCAAAATACTTCTCAACTCTTGGTCTATTTTTGGCTGAAAGCTTGTATATATAACTCCCTAAAGCTTGAATACAATATAATACATCTGGCATCGGGGTACCGGCAGGTAGAAATTGAAGAGCAGAATAGACAGAAGATAGCATTTGTCGTGCCGAACGGATTAAACGAATTCCAGACGATGCCATTTAGGTTGAAGAATGCACCCGCTACTTTCCAGCGGCTAATTTATTCGGTGCTCAGGGAGCTGATTCCGCAGCAGTGTCTTGTTTACTTGGACGATGTGGTGGTACACGGAAAGACCGAGAATGAACACTTGGCGAGC